CATCGCACTTAAGCCAGGTGTTTTAACTTAAAACACCGGAAACTACTCAACTTTTTATTCTGAATCACTATCAGCAATATTTTTCTTTGAGGTTTGGCCCATGAATCTCTAGCTGATTTTTTTATGATTCAGATTCATATGCTTTGGTTGTGGGGGTGCACTTAATGTTTTTTGAGAAGGAAGGAGGCAAGTCTATAATGTGAAGTGAGCTAGATCTGTGATAAGCCAACATCAAAGGGGCCAGATTTTCTAGGTGTTTCAGTTTTGGGACTGTTCAAATTCAGGTTTTCTTCAGACAAACAAACAAATAAACAAACAAACAAACAAACAAACAAACAAACAACACAGCTATTGGTAAGAAACTGTAATGCTTGTCTTACTATTCTTCTAAATCTACTGTCCCTACCACATTTTCTAGTCAAAGTGTTCTGGAACTGCATATTATGTGGCCTGATACAGGTCATTATAATTCATGTGTAGAATGAATGCTCTTATAATCCATATACACCTAGATCTCCAAGACATTAAAAAACTCTAAGCACAGTATTTTCACTTGTCTTCTTAAGTATAAGCTGAGTAAGAGAAATGTAAGTATACTAGAAACGTACTTGATATTTACTCTCCTCATTTATTATAGGTGCTGTAGATAAGATTTAGGAAGATCAGGAAACTGAATCAGAGGAAAAAATGTAACTATTAATTGTGTTCTGTGATCACTTAAATCCGTATGTGACATGAGATTTCACCAAGCCAGAGTAATCTTTCAGATTGCTAAATTGGAAGTGATTATTTGAATAGTTTGTACTATTTTTTCAGACAATGGAAACCTGCTTGAAATCTGGCATTGTTCTCTAGAAGGAATTTTAAGTATTGTATGAAAGTTTCTGCCTCTGTATTCCATGGAATGGTGAAACAGAGAGCTGGGTAATATCATATTAAATTGGTTGTTTATGTGTGTTGCTTATATTTCTATGCTGATGATAGATGCTATACCCCACCCTTTTAATAATGTTTCCAAAAGAAAACAATAGCTAATTTGTGATCCTCAGCCATAAAAAGCATGAACCAAAAGTTCAACAAAAAACGTTTTTAGCAGGTTTCAGATGCACCATGATGACATTAAAAAGTTAACTTTGCTGGCCTCAGACATTATACCTTGATACTCTAAAAAAGATGGCATGGACTTTTAATTAAAACTCCAGGATAGTAACCTCCTAGCTCTGCACTTTGAACCTTGCTATCTTTGTATCAGAAGCAAAAGAAAATATATCTTGTAGCAGAGCAACAGGCAGACATCATGTTCATAGAAAGTTATTTAATTAGTGTTGATCATGACTGCTGTTGATGGTGATTTTATAAGAAATAATTTAGTACTTAATAGTCTGTTGCATGCACCAATTCTATGTGGGAAAGAAAAGCAAATTGTATAAAATGAATGTAATACATTTGAAAAGTCTTGTTCCAGTGAGCTGAAAAGTTGTTTTACTATCTCTTCATATTGTGATGAGATACCCTGGGATATGTCATGTAAGATGTTGTGTGAGCTTGTATGTTTCCTTCATTTTAAAGACAATTGGGAAAAATAGTTTCTCATTATGGATTAAGAAAGAAACCAGAGCCAACAAATTGAGAATGGAAAAGGGCCTAAGGTATAGATTCCACATGTATTATAGAAGATCAACGCTTAAAAATCGAAGCCCTCTGAATATGATCTAAAGCCTCACTTTTTCAAAACAAAAATAAGGTGCCAGATTAGAAAGTTTTGATCAAAGTCATGATACACTATCAGTAGCATGAAATATAATTACTAGAACCTGATAAAATACATGGGACAAAGGAGAGATATTTTACAGGAGGGACAGTTGATGACTCTGGGACTACAGTTAAGTTTCTTGAACTTTCACTGAGTTGCACGAGAATCTGAAAGCAGAAGGATGGACCTGAGAATGTTCATGCTTTTTATGTTTGCTTTTCAATTTTTTAATGGATGAAAATTGAAGTAGGAGGCCTCTTGGAAGCAAATAACTCTTCTTTCTTCTTTTAATCTCTTGAATGATGCCCTAAAATTGTTATTTGGAGGGAGGAGGGAACAATTTACTGAGGTTTCATACTTCAAGAAAAGCTGCAAATTTAAGAGACCTTGGAGAAACACTTTGCTATTTATTTATATGGCCCAGCAGAAAAGATAATTACAGGCTGAAGCATGTGTAGTAGGAATGACTATTTCAAGATATCTGAAGGACCTTGAAACAGTATCCCAAAATCTCATCTGTTATTGCTTTTGCCATCAAATAGGCTTTTCTCTATTACTTGATAAAGAATGTGACCCTATAAGAGAGACATCTTTAGACTGCTAAGGATAGTAATGTGACATTTCTGCTTGAATTTCTATTTTATTACTTAATTATTGTTTATTGATTCATGTATTATGGTTTGTTTTCTTTTTTATTAGATTCTGGTTTTCTCTACCCAGGGTGACTTTAGTTGAGTTGTGCAGCTGTATAAATGTGATACATATATATATATATATATATATATATATATATATATATATATATATATATATATATATATATATATATATATATATATATA